CTGTTACGGATTCAATGGGCCCATGCCGGGCTTCAAGAATGGCTGCCTTATTTGGCCAAAGCTCCTACATCATGGAGGGCACCGAGCGGTTTTGCGACGGGAGGGAGAAGCGAGAATGGAACGCCGAGGTCGGGCGGCAGATCACCACTGCCACTGGCGCTAAGGGATAAAGCGATCCCTTCAAATTTTGGCCGCTGCCGCCGTAGCTTGAGTAGGCTTGGAAGGCATCCTCATCACCACGTCCCGTTGTATCCGAGAACTCGCCCCCAGCCTCGCCACATCATACCCGAGACACAGACGGAAAGAACAATTGTCGACAAGCATCGGGAGCTCCCGTCAGGCCATGCCTGGTTCCTGAACCAACTTCCACATCCTTGTTAGGATGGTGATCCTGGCAATGCTTTCATTCGCACACTGCGGCACAGTGCTGCCATGGACGGCTTTGCATGCTGTTGATCATGTCCGTTCTTTCAGTGGCGTGTTATTGATCCGTCAAAGAACGGTTAAGAAGCGGAAGTCATTTGACGCAAACACATGTAACTAGTAGAACACATACGTTGTCACATGTTGACAAAGATGCTAGAAGATAAATACCTGCACACAAACGTTGACGAAACGCCTTTATCTATGTTGTGTAGGCTGTCCGAAATTAGATACCATTTCCAACCAGATGTCCACTGGATAAATAGATGGAAAAACGGGTTGACACAGAGAGGGAGAAAGAGAGAGAGAGAGAGAGAGAGAGAGAGAGAGAAGCAAATACGGACATGCAAGAACAAACAACGTAGAAGTCCAAGGAAGAATAAACGAGTGCAAAATTGAGCAAACGCACATATGAAAATCTGTTCTTGCCATGCATGTGTATCAAGCAGCAAGGGTGCACGCCATGGGCATCAGCAACAGACCGTTTTCGCGTGAGCATGCTTTCTGACCAGCTGCTTCAGCAAGCCATGATGTTTTGCATCGTAACCTTGGCAAGATGCAGCACGAAACAGTGGACTAGGCCCGCACTTGCCGACTTGCTGATTATTGCCAACTGTCGTCTGTTGTGGAAGCGACTGTCTTTAGCCGCAACATGTTTGGCGCATTGGAACGCACGAAAACGAAATCCCTCCGAGCGCATTGTGATGGGCGAGAAAAATGCCGCGTGCACCGTTTACCTTTGTTGCCGAGGCCCGTCTGAAGTAGGCCGGCGATGTTTCACAATGCCAGTCGCAAGACACGGGCACACCGATGGCTACGATGGGTGCAGCCTAAACATGCAACACTAGCACTGTATGTCACCAAGCCATGCAGTTGGGTAGTTGGACTTGATCACGCATGTTGCGTTTGCGTCCCACGTTCAAGTAGGTTGTGATGCGGTACAGACCTATCATGACATATCCAATGGTCACCACTACGGTAGCGGAGTCATATACAGTGAAGTGTCCGAAATGCTCGGTTTTTGAGGGCTGGTACATGTAGCTCTGCACGACACGAAAATGCATGAAGCTGCAATTCGGAATGATTGAAGGTGTGACTGTTCGGTGGCTTTCGACCTTGCTGGGCTTGGCCGCGTGGCAGGGCCTTGTACAAAGTCTCGATTACTGCTGGCACGTCGCGTGCTGACACATCAATTGTGGAATTACTTGCACACCTTGGAGCATACATGGCATGAAGTTGTGTTCGTTCCTAATCGCTGTTCGGAGTCTTTCATTAGAACAGCTCATCCCTAACTGTTCGCAACATTAAAATCAAAACCAGCCACCGGATTTGGATTGATGAGCTCATCACATGTGGTCATATCGAGCTAGATGGTTGAGTATGTTAGATTCATTCTGCATCGCTTTCATGTCCGAGCATGTGTCAGCATCTCGTAGACACTGCCGATACGTAGCATAACGATCACCCTGCCACGAAGCTGCAACTTTCGTTGATCTTGAAGATCGACCACGAAGACTGGTGCGCTGCGTTTTCTGTTGGTTTCGAGAGGCACCCTGATCTCAGGAAATTTATTGCCGTAGGCCGTGTCAGTCAGTGTGCTGAAATAAAGACCAAGAAAGCACATTCCGGGTCTCGCACCTGAGTTTGCAAAATCGCTTTGTAGTCTCTTCGTCAAGCTGCACACTTTAAGTTATCTGGACAGGGGGGTTGTTCACGCCAGACTCCGGCATACTGTAGGCTTACGATTGTTGATGCGTGTGGCAAACGGCATGTGATGCCTGTATGTCTTCCAAGAAGCTTTTCAGCATCACCCTCTGGTAGCTGCGTCTGAGTTCAATATCAGTTGCTTCTTGCCACTGGATGCCTGGCTCTGCAAGCTTGTCTAGATGAGAGACGTGCCCGGTCCAGAGAGGCACAGGGTTCCGAAAGGTCTTTTGAGTCCGTGCTGTTCACATTCGTCATGATCTGGGGCTTGTGTATTAGCTCGGGTCTCGCGACGCAAGCTCGTCATTTGTTCTCATGTTAGGGCTGTGGGAAGGGTCCGCCGCCTGCGGCAGGGCCTGTTGGAGGCACGAGCATGATCTCGTCAGTGCTTCTGGTGAACCTCAAGGCGGCAGCAAGAGCTTCAATTTTGAAGTTCACAGATCGTTGCCTCAAATTTTGCAGGAGTGCGGGTGCCGACAACTGAAGATTTCAATGATGCTTGTCAACTGCTCCTGGCTATTAAAGACCCACCCGACCGGAGGTTCGCAACGAAACAGCCTTGTCTTCGCATGCACAAAGCTCGCTCATTCTCCTCGTTCCCCAAAGAAACCTATGGCCTGATGCCGTTGCATTTGCGAGTCCGACCCTGACGGTACAAGGCCCCGGTTACACCCTCAAAACGAGCTGACCACAAGCCACAAGCCTTGCGAAGTCTGCAGCCGATCGCCAGGGTGAAATCCTTATCTGGCGAGCCTACAAGGCACCTGCCGTTCGTGTATCGATATTGCAGGATTTGCAGCTTAGTCCTTGAACAGGACGGGCTTCGGAAGAGCCTTGGGTATCGACAGTGGCTTGCAGTCGCACATTCGCCCGAATGCAACCACAGGACACTACCAGCAACAAGGAGACCACCGGCACACAACCGAGATCACCACCGAAAAATCGCTCCGCCAACCTACTGGTACTTCCTAATTCAGATTCAGAGACATGACGACCGTTTCAGGACCTCGGCACAAATGCCCCATACGCTACTCCGCCCCGTAATATCGGAAGGATTCAGGCATTTCCAATGGACCTTGCCATGGGCCGTCTTTCCGGGGATGCCACACAGACCCTGCATAAGTAATGAGACATGAGCGCCAAGGCTCCGCTACAACACATCGGGAGCCGCATCACAAGGAACCTCTCTTCCCGCACGCTTCCCGTCTACAGTGATCAAGTCGTATACTATATGCTCGAACCCCATAGGTTCTACCACACTGTTTAGGGCATGCATGCAGTCTTGGCACATCTGGACGTCACAAGTTCGCTGCCCTTCCAACGCGTGGCGGAGAAACTTTGGCCTTATCACTGCCTGGAATATGGAGAGGGTGTATTGTCGGTGCACAACTTGCAGGTACGCGAAGCCACAAACCAAAAAGGCACTAGTTACACATCGTGCATACTTGATCGAGCTCTAGCAACGACAACCTCCAACCCGCGGGAGGACAATGTGACCAGAGCGGACTGGACACTTTTCTGCGGCCAAGTCGTTGCTGCGAAGGAGAGCACGATGGGATACAGCATGGGGTTTCCAGGGCGCCGCATGTGGTGGGGTAGGGGATGGTAGGGGGCTGTAGGGGGCTGGGGGCTTTAGGGGGACCTATGCACTGGCATTTGCTTCCATTGCCTTCGTGAGCTTCGCACTTCTCAGTTTGAGTAGTTGGATATCTGCTGACACGGGCAGAGTCGGCAGAAGCAACAGCAAGACTAACTAACGATTGGCTAGCGGCAACAACACCAGCAGAAACTGCGTGGTAATATATAACTATACAAGCAGCAAGAATTGCAACAAGCACAAGTCTAAGACAAGATGAACACCCTCGCTGCTCGCGGAGATTGCAAGGGACCAGCTGTTAACGTTTCGTAACGGGGCAAACGACTCGGTGCAACAAGCCACTCAGGAATCATGGCTTTGTAGCTGTGAATTATGAACATGACAAATCCGGATTTCAGGCATTTGTGAGGAACTCTGAAAGATGGTTCGAGGTGACTGCACTAAAGCACTGCAGGACGTGGCAGGTAAGGCGCTCCTGGAACTCGAAGCACACTCAACATGGCACGTAGCAACTGACTGCACATTGACTTCGGCAGCTGTTTCTGCAGGAGACCAGGGATAAGCCTGTTGTGAGCATCAACGGCTCCCACTTCCTGTACATAACGCAGGCACGCGGGACCCAATACTGGATTGCCCGGAGTCTCGCGAGAAAAACGCATTCGAGGACTCAAGGCTTCAGAACCACTGGGCCGCAGAGTCTGATTTTGCAGCCAGCCACGAGTGGGTAGGGCAGGATTTGCCCTCATTTTCTGATGATTGGCTATGCTCATGACTCATGACTGGTTCTGGGTGGGATGATGGGGTGACATCTCGGGTTTCGCAGGCTCCACCCTTAACAGGTTCGTTATGCCCATTACACTCCCGTTGCTGATTCTTGATTCCAGGTCTCAGTTTTGTTCTTTCTCTGGTTTGTGAGTCTTGGGTCTTTTCCAGAGGCCCAGACTTTGCCGTTGGTAATCCGAGAGTCCGTCCATCGAGCAAAGACGTGTCGCCCACAACAGACCTTCAAGGGGCACGTTTCGTCTTGACTCGGTTACTAGACTGAATCTGTAGTATAGCCGCCGCGCAGGGGTTTTATGACCGAGTCATTGCTCTTTGTGTAGATGTTTGTCCGTTTAAGGTTAAGCCGTCACATCAGCATCCGGGGTGTCCTCCTGTGCCGAAGGGCGACATTGTCCTTGTCGCTTGTACCAAAGACAACGTGAACGTGATGTTAGCACGGGGGCCCAGCACGGGTGACAAGATCCAGTAACATGTCGATCTTTACATGATGCTTTAGTGTCTGCAAACATAACTCAATTTGTACTTGACAGTTTTCCGCTTTCGCTACTTCTGCTTGCTCATAGCGGAAAGGCATAACATCATTTAACATGATTGTGACCAGCATTGCGGATGACCCTGGTCGTCAAGTTCAGCGCTCAGCTCTAGGCAATTATGCCAGCGTAGATCCCTAAACAGCGGTAGAGCACGACACGACGACCACCGCGACAACCAGGAGCAGCAGGACCCAGAACGACCGTCACCACCTTGACGACTACCAGCAGACCGCAAGCGACCACCCAGCGCAGATCACCAGGATAGAACTATAGAGCATCAGGACAGCAGCCAAAAAGCATGTTTTCTTGTTGCTCAAGAGCTGCGTCCCTGTATACCACAGTGCCGTTATTAAGGTCGCTTTACATGTGCCTCTGATTCACCGGTGCTCTCATAGTCTTGAGAGCTGAGCGATGCTGACGCCCTTGTGATGCTCAGTAAGCTGATCATTGCACGTAATTCAGGAGGTGCTCTGCTGCAGAGCCCGCTAAACCTAGTCCAGCTTTCAGTTGTCAGGCTGGAGGGTTTCATCAGAGAGAACTGAAGGCCCCAAATTCGGAAGTATGGGCGTGAGGAAGTGAGGAACACCGGTGCTGTGCCGAGGTACTAAAACTGCTCCACAAGATGGTCGATCTGTTTAAGGCCATGCGATCACTGTAGTCATCACCGTATATCCTTGGACAGTACACAGTGTCAAAGCGTGAGATGTTTCTTCTTCCTGCCGGGGGTTGTCCCTGTTCAGCATTGCATTGGCGGAACCATGGCTGGAGAGCTTCGGATCTTGTCTTGTTTTGGGTCTGGCACTGACGACACCAAACGAGGCTCCCCACAAGGCCAGAGCCTCAATCCATCGGGCCTTTAAGTTTTCAGAAGGGGACCCTGGCAGGCCTACTTCGGAGGCGCCTTTGATGAGAACCAGGCCGCGATGCTTGCTGCGCTGTTTCAGGTGCAGGATCCATGCCAGCAGAAGTGGCTCGTTTTGAGATGCAACTTTGCAGGTTCGGAAGAACTTTGTCCTCATCTACGAGCTGTTGCTAAGCCGCAGTTGCAATCCGTTTGGCATTGATTCAGGCATGTCCAGTTGAAGCTTCTTTCTGCAATTGCAGGTTCTGCAGATGAGCGGTTGAAGAATTACAGTCACGTTGCGGCGACGATCGCAGGATATAGATTATGTGCAGCACGAATGCACAAGCTACAAAGCGCTGCAAGAACTCCTCCGTCTTGCCACACCCTTGCTTGGCTACAAATTTAGTTGAGGCGCTGGTGGTAAGAAGTGGTGAGAATGAAGGGTTTGGCTGTGCAGTATCGTGCTGCGTATGTATATATTTGATCCTCAGCAACTACCAGCCAGAGTAAGTCCCCCGAGTGTTGGGCGACTTGCCTTGTTTGATCGGTTTGTCACAATGGAACTACGGTGAGCTGCGGGCTACTGGCGCAAGTGTGTTCATGCTCCTAAGTTTTTCGTTCCGAGTCCGACATCGGACAGCGTGTGATGCGAGGAGAGGTCGAAAGCACGAACAGCTTCTGGCTTCAACAATCGCAACCAACCGCTCCAAAGCCTTCGACTGGCGTTGAGGTGCCAGGCCCTGGCGCAGCCTTAGTCTGTTCAAGCTACGTTTTCAAGAGCCTCACGACTCCTTTGAACTCGCAATGTCGGCCTAGCGAGTTGCCCGGCCAATTGCCAATACTTTGGCCTTATCCAGTGCAGCCCCGCGACGTTTTCGAGACGCCTTGCGGCTACTGCGCCTACTACTGCAGCGGAGGCCCCAAATCTTAGCCAGACGAAAGCCCCGCTTCGTTTGCACTGAGCAGCTGCGCGCTGCGCTTTCGCTTCGAGTTTTGAGCCGGGATGTGGGCTTCTGGGCTTGGAGGACGCCTCGGAGCAGCGGCCCGAGTCTGCCCCAACTTCGGTCTTTGACTCTCCTATCACGCTTTGGCCGTGATTCTACGTGGGCCCTGAGATTATCCAGAAACACTGCATGAAGCTGTGCATGTCAGGCAAGGCCCAGCTGAACTTGAAGAGCCCGCACCCTGGACCTTGATGACAACAACCGATATGATACCGTTGCATAGCAAAGTCCAACCAAAGGCAAGGAACATTTTGTACCGCGGTGTACATCGACACCACAACGTCTGTCCTGCACAGTCTCTATCTACACGAGGTCGTGGCGCTTCCGGCTTAGGCAGGCCATGTTCCAACAGAGCATTCTTCACTGCAGGGTGCCTTCCTGTCTTTCTATCTGGCCTGTCTATCGCTGCTATCCCTGTGCACAGGATCTCTTTGCACTGTTTGAGTATGCTTCTTGTGGCTGTGGATCCTGGCTTATAGGATCTAGGTCTAAGAGTGTTGATCATATCAAAAAGAAAAAGGTTTCAACTTTGCAGGCATTTAATTGCAGGAAGAGACTTCCTTTTATGATCTTGTATGTGTTGTGCAGCAGTTTTAGTTTTGCAGATTCCTGGATTAAGGTTTGAGAAATCGCCAAACTTGTCCACAGATTCTTGAAGGAGATCTGAAACATTCAGCAAGATTAAGGAGATTCCGCAGGTGGCAGTTTCCAGATTGCCATTATTTCAGAATCATTTTGTGTTGTGTTCCGGAGTGTTTCATGTTTCGGAAAATAACAAGCTAAAATGCCACTTGCTTTGTACCTGTGTGTATATATATATGTATAGTGTATATATATATATATATATACATATATGTGTGCACACATCCTCTTACGTACCTGCACGGACATATGCATACACACATATGCATGCATGTCCATGCACATGCATGCATATACGTGCATAACAGCTTCACTACATAATTTGGCATTACATGTTTTTATGGTATTACTTCACATGGCTATAGCGACACAGCGACACAGTGTTTCGCTGCAGTACAGCGTCTGTCATCACCTTACTTACATTATGCACATCGCCTACATGGCACACCTCTTGCACATAATACTTGTAGTACATACAACACGTACATTACTACGATGTTACTTTCATTACATACACTAGATGTTACATAAATGTCTACATACATGTACATGCCCGCATGCATTGCACATGTTACATACATTACAACCACTAAATACCATGGTCACGCTACGTCTTTTTGCATCCGCTGTCTGCATGCAGGAAGGCGTTGATGCCGTTCTTCAATAGGGCCCGAAGAAGATTGCAATATACTAAATCAATAGTTTATAGTAGTGGAAGGTGCTTGTTACGGTTTATCCTCGGTGTCCCAGTCAGAACCACCTGCGTGTAAACACACTTCAGCTGCACACGGCGAATATCCCAATGCCAGCGACGCGGAAGCTGGAGCTTGTGCCCGAACTACTTCTTCTCGGCATCATGGGGATCACACCGCATTGGCGTGAGTAGACAGGAGTCTGGAGTACCTGTCTCATGAACAGAACCGCAAGAGCGAGACATGTGCGCGACAAAAGCAATGCGAGGGCATCCCAATACTGTACTGCGGAGTTAATTGCTTCAAGCAGCCCGAAACATGACTCAGTTGAGCGTAGATTCCGAAGCCTCCTATTTGTCGGGCCCTTATGCTTGTTGGGAGCGCCAATCTGCGCTTTGGTCTCTCTACTGAGCTTTTTGACCTCCATCTACAATCTAGAGCTTACGGGTATATCGTGTACGCCCTTTGCTGTCCGGTGCCCAGAAACTCAATGACTTAGCAACCCTCCCCCTTAACTTCAGGCCCGAAGCTTGTCATTTTCGTCCAACAGACCCGAGACTCCCCCCCTGCAAATTTGAAGACTCTTAAGCCTTCACACGATAACCAACCCAGCGCTCAATCCTACAAGTTTCAGGTAGTGGAAGAAGCGGAACCCGAGAAGCCCTGCCGCGAGACTTGCCCCGAGGTTAGACGAGATCATTGACTATGGTGCGAGCCCCAGTCAAGCCGTGAGAGGGTTGAAAGGTCTGGCATGTACGCGCTGCGATAGTTCTCATCCGTGCGATGAGTTGCCCGAGCGGGTGGGTGAATCACCCCCCACCCTAATAACCAGCCCCCGGCCCCTGCGCCGTTGGCAGCCCCCCAAAAGAAAGCAAACCAACCAATCAAGTAATCCAATAATCGACATGGACTATGACCCAGGGTAAATGGGTATAGCAGTATATTCTAAAGCATAGTAGGATTCCGAATTTTTGTTTCGGAAGTTCCGGCAACATTATATGCATAAGTGCGCATGGTCCACGCACCTTCCGCTATTGGATTCCAGGGTTGGTGGTGTTTGAGGGGGGGGTGGGGACAACGTTTTGGGTGATGACCCAACCCCGCTCCCCTGCGCGCGGGCGGCCCACTCTCCAATGGGTGCTTTAAATGCTTGGGGACTGAGGGCTATGGCACGGTTAGCCGAATGGCCACAGTCTTCGGAGCTGAGTCTCCCAAGCATAAACGCCAAGATCGGAGTGTTGAGTTCTTGGGAGTGGCCTGCTGCACTGAATTCAGACTCTTGGAACTCCTGGACCAAGTTTCGGCGTTTGGACCGTGCACGACTTCAGTTTGTGTAGCTTCGAGGTAGAAGTTATCGATAGATTTTCTCCAACACAAACTCGGGGACCAAAGGAGCACATAAATAAACAGATATATATATATATGTTTATATTTATATTTATATTTATATATTTCTATTTCTATTTATATTTATATTTATGTATATACATACTTATATGTTTAAAGACTTATATAACATAACCCCCGCCTATTGACCAACCTCCACTGTGTGACGAAAGGGGGGAACGAAGAAGCAGATTGTCGACAGTGCAGTCGAAATCAGTATCGCCATCTCTGGAAAGGACGTATATACACAAAGTATCGCCATATCTGGAAAGGACGTATATATCACAAAATCAAAGCAGCAACACACACAGCAGACGCTACAACTTCGACAAACCAAGACAAACCCACGAACCAGCAAAACTAAAAATGTACAAACAAAAACACAGACAGAAAACACACACAAAAAACAATAGATTCCAAAATCTATGTACTAAACCAAAATTTTTAAACTACAGAAAGTTCAAAAAGCAAAGACACCTCACAAAAACAACAAGATCACGCAACAAAAAACAATACAAAACACCACACACAACACAAATATTAGCCCTATGTTCCGGACCATAGCCTCACAGATTTGTGTTTCTTGGTTTTGTGTTTTTTGTTTTTTGTTTTTTGTGGTGTTGCTTGTGTATTTTTTTTGTTGGGTTGGCTTGGTTCAGAACATAGTCTCTGAAATTTGAATCTTTCGTTTGTTTTTGGTTATTTGTTTTCGGACATAGATTCCAAACCTGCGCTGTAATTAATCGTATATTGCACTCTAGTTTGCCTCCTTTTCACATCCGACTATGCAGTACGTAATGGTATGCCACGCAAACATGCATGCATTGATATTACTATTAGTCGATTAGTCTTAAAAGATGTATTTGCATGTATTTTTGTATTGGTATTAGCACGAGTGTTACTAGAGTTATGCATATTCGTATCAGCCGAAGTATTAATTAGTGTTCATGTTCGAACCAGTATTTCTCGTCATATGTATTTGATTCTAGTATTAGTGTTAGCCTTACTATGAGTATTATCATGAGGCGGAGCATTGGTATGCATACTGATATCAATAGTAACATTACTATTACAGTAGTAGTATTTTTCGAGCACTTGTGTTAAGACTAATATTGACATGAGTAAGACGTTTTCTATTCGTAGAAATATTAGCTTTAATGTTGGTTTTTTCGTGATAGTTCATGCTATTACTAATGTACATACCGATGCTAACATTAATACGAACACACATATGAATATACTAGTATTTTGCACATTGGAATTAGCATTTGTATTCGTCTGAATTATCAAGATGAAAAACAAGGTCTGAATATTAGTATTGAGAATTGCTAATGAGAGCATGCGTATCAATATGAGTACTCGCATATATAATCGTGTTAGTATGTATACGAGTATTCGTACTAATACCGTTGTTAACATGAACATGAATATTCGAGTTCGTAGGAGTTTTAGTATTCAAAGGTATTCAACATAATATGCGCGTTTGAGAATAGCTAATAAGAATATGCGTATCAG